GGAATATTGCTAAATTATGTCCAGGCCAGGCCCCCACGACAAAGCATGATCCAACCCCAGAAATGTCAATAGCGCTGAGAATGGGCAACCCAGCTCTAGAGAATGAACTAGATCGGCAGTGAAGACCCAGAGCCCAGGACAACCACATCGCGGCCACTGGCCAGTCACCATAGGGAACACATCTGGTTTCCATTTCTCTCCTCTTGGCCTCAACCTCAGAGAAGTAAGCACAGAAGAGGGGGACACAGTGATATCAGAGACATACGTGTCCCTGCTTCTTCCCACTGGGGCCTCAGGCCTGGCCTGCGGAGGGGAAGGATGGGGAGTAATCTGAGAAAACTTTGACTTTTGAAAAGAACAAGTGTTGAACACCAAGGTGAGGCTGTGTTAACAACCAAAAATGGCTGGAAGGCAGACCAAGGTGCCTTCTGCCCAGTGAGAACAGGGATTTTGACAGAACAGCTGGTAGCAGCTGTTAGAAAAAAACAAGATCTTTTGCTCACGTGCACGTCAACAAGATGCGTTTCCTTAGTGAAAGCTGCTCCTTAATGAAAGTTAGCACACACTGCCTGGCACAAATTAAGAGCTTACTAAAGGCTAACCAGTTGTGTGTGTTAAGAGGGAAGTGGAATGTCAGCAGAGCCGGCTGAAGGATAAGTGTTGTCATGCAGAGACAGCTGGTTTCAGTTAAAGCACAGAGATCAAGGAAGCCGGGGCCTTGAGTAACAGGGCACCCGGGTTCCTGAAAATATATTTGAAGGAGTCTGTTCTTTTTTTTCCCCTAAGATTTTTATTTTTAAGTAACCTCTACACCCAACTTGGGGCTTGAACTTACAACCCCAAGAGCAAGAGTCCCATGCTCCACTGACTGAGCCAGCCAGGCGCCTCTTATGGAGTCTATTCTTAAGCTACAAACCAGTTTCCTTAAGGGCAAAGCAGTTCTCTAAAGTTGCACCAATTTTGGGGCGCCTGGGTGGCTCAGTCAGTGAAGCGTCTGCCTTCGGCTCAGGTCACAATCCCGCAGTCTTGGGATCGAGCCCCACGTTGGGGTTCCCTGCTCGGGGGGAGCCTGCTTCGTCCTCTCCCTCTGCCCCTGCTTGTGTTCGCTCTTTCTCTCTCTTAGATAAAGAAAATCGTAAAGAAAATAAAGTTGCACCAATTCTTACTTCTTGAGGTAAGTAACCAAGACTCTCCCAAGATGGCCGCCATCAATTCCTTCCCTGTCTGTAAGCTGATGCCGCTCCTCATGCCATAGGCGGGGGCCCTAATCCCCTTCCCTGGAATCTGAGCAGGACTCAGTGATTTGCTTGAGCAGTAGAATGTGGTACATGTGAGGTTCTGGGATTTCCAAGGCTGGGGCACGAGAAGCCTCGAAGCTTCTGCCTGGATCTCTTGGAATGAATGCTCTTGAGACATTCCCTCTTGTAACCCAGCGGCCATGTCACATGGAGAGACCACAGGGCGCTGCTCTGGCTGACAGCCCCAGCTGAACTCTTCGCTGACAGCCAGCCACAACCCCATCACTGCATGAGAGAGGCATCGCAGACATTTAGCTCATTGCCCCTGTAACCACATGAGTCCCCAAGTGCGGACCACCCATCTGAGCCTTGTCAACTCACGGTGAACCCAATAAATTATTGCTTCAAGCCACTACGTTTTTTGGGTGATTTATTACTCAGACACAGATAACTGGAACACTTCCCTAGGGAATCTGTGCTTTCAGACACATATGCTCCTTTCTTGGATGAAAAATTAATTCTTTCTAGTGATTGCCCAGGAAGGGTTCACACAAGTGGGATATCCGGGCTGGTGGAAAGACAGAAGGCAAACAGCAACGCAAGCCCAGATTCCAGCTTATGCATAGTACCAATTCATAAGCCAGCTACCCTTTGGTGTGAGAGCATTTCAGTCCCTCCCTTCCCTTCCCCCTGTGACAATGTCTTCCTCCTTTCCGTTCCTCCATAAATTTCCAAACTGCTATTCCAAAACAGTCATTACAGAAACATGGTCAGGGTGTTAGAAATCTGACTGATGTCAGGAAGTACTGTGTGGGGGCGCCTGGGTGGCTCAGTCGTTAGGCGTCCGCCTTCGGCTCGGGTCATGATCCCAGGGTCGTGGGATGGAGCCCCGCATCGGGCTCCCTGCTCCGCGGGAGGCCTGCCTCTCCCTCTCCCACTCCCCCTGCTTGTGTTCCCTCTCTCGCTGTGTCTCTCTCTGTCAAATAAATAAAGTCTTTAATTAAAAAACAGAAAAAGAAAAAAAAAGTACTGTGTGGACGGGTTGAGGGGTGGGCAGCTGGGTAATTCAATCCAAGTATCCGAGGTTTAGCCACTAGGGTGAAGTCTTAAAGTACTCCTAATGGGAAGGCAACTTTATCTTTCATGGACACACAAGGGAGAATAGAATCCTCTGGTAATTAAATACCAATTAGACATTAAGAAAAAGTGCTTATAAAATTGTATTACCATTCAACCGGGAAATAAGATTTAATTGAGCTTTTTTAATTCACGAGCGTTCCTGCTTTGACACCACCTAGTGGGGGTGACTGTAATAGCTTCAGAAACCGGAGGCCCCTTCTCACGCCGCCAGCTTGGCCACCGTCCCCACATTCCCACGCCAGCGTCTGGGAGGATGTGGGGAGAGACCGTGATAGTTATGCATCATTTCCGCACTATGCCTGCCTGATTCATCCCCAAACGTGAAGTAGTCGCTGGGACCATGACAGCTCATGATGCCCTTCAAGAAGTTTTCTGTGGCATTTACAGAACTCTGTGAGTTCTTTGAGCTTGCCCACCTGCTTGGGAAACAGGCTGCAGATCCCCTTTTTATGCTAAGTCAGCGGTTCCCAAATTTGTCTGCACATTAGGAGATCCCCAGGGGGGTTCCAATGTGTTGCCTCGTTTGGGAGCCTCAGTGCTAAGTGACCCTAATTCCCCAGGTCATCAGCAGACCTGGCGGCTATTGTCTCTTGACTCCTCTCTGCTTTCCATTAGGAATATCCCAAGGCCAAACCCAGTTAGAAACCTCTTAGCACTTACCACCTCTGCCCAGTTGGTAGAGCCTTCACGGATTAAAAAAAAAAAAAAAGGCTGGATTTAAAATTCTTCCATCTCTAGGGGCGCCTGGCTGGCTCTAGAGCCTGCGACTCATGATCTTGGAGTGGTGAATTCAAGCCCCACGTTGGGTGTGGAGCCTACTTAAAACAAAAATTTTTCCCCCGTCTCTAATGTATTTTTACTTTGGTTAAATTTTAAGTATTTTTTTTCCCAAATAAAAATACATTGCATACGTGGTTATCCTTGGGTGGTGGGCAGGGCTGGAAGGGGGCACAAGGAGTTTCTAGGATGTATTTGTTTTTATTAATATCGGTGCGTTGGGGCGCCTGGGTGGCTCAGTCGTTAGGCGTCTGCCTTTGGCTCAGGTCATGATCCCAGGGTCCCGGGATCGAGCCCCATGTCGGGCTCCCTGCTCCGCGGGAAGCCTGCTTCTCCCTCTCCCACTCCCCCTGCTTGTGTTCCCTCTCTCGCTATGTCTCTCTCTGTCAAATCAATAAATAAAATCTTAAAAAGATAATATCGGTGCATTGGCTCATAAATACAATGTTTACGATCTGTGCACTCTTCTGTAGGTATTTATACTTCAGTAGGGAACCCAGCACATGCATTGCAGACCTATTGGGAGAAACACAGAGAAGTAAATAGAAAATAGGAGTGAGGGACCGCCAGAGATCAGCACTTAGGGCCTCCGCAGGTGACACTGCTTTTTACAGGAGGTAAAATCCCTCCCACTAACACTACCCCACTGATGACTGCACCCCTCATCCTCGGAAGGAGAGGGAAGCTGCCCCCGGCAGTTACATGAGGCTGAAGGACTGGACTCCAATGACTCCATGCCCAAGAGGGACTGGTTGGAGAAGACAGCGGGGTCACCGCACTTTCTCGCCAACTGAGACTCCCTCCCTGGTCTAATCAGGCTCACCTGAGCTCTCCTTTTGCTCAGGCCTCCCACCCTGGGCTCCCCCTGTGCCTCCCCTTGCACAGTCCGGTTCTAGCAAGAATCCCGCGTGGTCAGTTTTGCCAGAATGCCCCACCCTCCATGTCTGATCACCTTCCATATCTGTTGGGGTCCCTCACCCTCCACCACAACCCCCATCCCCCGCAGGGGTGGTGTCTGATCACTCTGGTTGTCACTAGCAAGGTCTGCTAGGTTGGATGAGCCAGAATCTCGCCTTACTCCTGTTTCCTTTTAGCAATTTCTCGTCCACCGACACCCACCCCCCACACCGTCCCCGGCAAGCTCCTTGGCTATAAATCCCCACTTTTCCTTGTATTTGGAATTGAGGCCCCTGTCTGCCTCCCACCGCCTCCACCGCCAGACCCCACTGTGGGGGTCCCTACACCTGTCACAACCTGCCTCACCCATCTCTAACAAGAGTCTTGAATAATGTTATCTTTAACACCGCCCAAGTCCGAATTTCAGCTGCAGCTCTAAAAATGGAGATTTTGTGCATCTCACAAGAATGATCCTGAGAGGAGGCACTGCCCTTTCCTTCAAGTCCCTTATTGAAAAACAAACAAACAAAAAACTAGAGGTGAAATGCACGGAACACAAAATGGACAATTCAGTGGCATTTGGTGCATTCACAGTGTTGGGCAACTGCCACCTCCACCTAGTTCCAAAACATCTTCATCGCCCCCAAAATAAAACCCACATCCATTAAGCAATTACTCCCAGGTCCCTCTTACCCCAGCCCCTGGCGGCCACCAGTCTGCTTTCTGTCTTTACAGGTTTACCCATTCCGTGGGGCGCCTGGCTGGCTCAGTTGGTAGAACATGTGACTTTTTTTTTTTTTAAGATTTTATTTATTTGACAGAGAGAGAGAGAGAGACAGTGAGAGAGGGAACACAAGCAGGGGGAGTGGGAGAGGGAGAAGCAGGCTCCCCGCCGAGCAGGGAGCCCGATGCGGGGCTCGATCCCAGGACCCCGGGATCATGATCTGAGCCGACGGCAGATGTTTAATGACTGAGCCACCCAGGCGCCCCCCCCCCCCCCCGCCCCGACCTGCTAGTCTTTATTGAGCGCTCACAACATGTAGGTCTTGGTCTAGAATTAGAATTAGCCCCCCCAACTTTCCACTCAGGGTCTCCAGCATTTCAGAAATGCCCAAGACGGCAGGGACATGGCCCTCGGTGTCCTGAGTTTTGCTGTGGCTCCCCACTCCCACTCAGTCTTGCCCCAGCCCGTGTGCCTCCCGCAACGCTGAAGCCTGCAAATCGAGTAAGAGATCCACCCCTGAGGACTCAACATGCCTCTCCCCTTGGGAACATCACTCGTGCCTGCCAAGAGCTGAAGGAGGCAGACCCGATCCCATGCTAATCACAGTTTGCAGATATTGAGTGTTTTCCCTCCTTAAGTGCTCAGAGTTCTCAGTCTGAGAACCGAGCAGTCACAGACACTTGTCACATGGCACCTGGAACTCAGCCTAAAATGGTAGGACTTTGTGCTTGTTTGCAAGTGCCAAGTTCCGATGCTATGGGTTTTCCTAGGCCATCCGAGTCAGGAAGACTAATGTACCGTTTTAACTCTGCATCGGAGCCATCTGTCCCTCCCTCCCGGGACCCGTCAGCCTGCCGTGCCCAGCGAGGAGGAGGTGGGGTGTCAGACCGTGCCCTTCCGGTCTCTCCGCATCAGCACAGTGGCCACCTGGCACCCGGGTGCAGCCCCCGCCTCTAGCCGTCCTGCTGCATCTGCCAGGGGGATGCCGTTGGGGGAGGTCAGCCCGCAAGCACTTCTTGAGGAATTCCGTGTGCAGACCCGCCATGTTTGCCGATCTAGGAAGGAGACAAGAAGACAAAAGAAAAGAGGTGTTCTGCAGCCACCTATAAGCTCCCCACGACTCAGCACTCGCCAGGCCCATTGTGTTTTTGGTTTGCTTCTAAAAAATAATGTCACTAACTAGTTAGTCTGTAAGCTTTGACAGGGGATCACTTGGTTCCCCATTCCGTTTTGAAAGTGAGTTTCAGAGAAGGCTGCTAGGATCATCTGAGGATGCCTTGAGGAGAAATGACATCTTAACTCATTCTCAAGATGCTAGTCACGTGGCCGTGGCCAGGACTTCTGGGCGGTGAGCAGAGAGAACACGGAACTCTGCTTTTGGAAATGGCTCTCCTGTCAGATCAGCAAATCACTCCCCTTGATGCACAAAGGCTTAGGGGTACACGTGTGCAATTAGGTTACAGTGTCCCTTGCCCCCAGCTCCCCTCCTTGGCCCCAGCTGTCCAGCCCATCCTGTATAATCATTGCTTAGATTACCAGGGTCGTGTCTGGAAAAGAATCGAAGTACCGTTTGACCTTCAAGAGGCAAGCCTCCAGGGAAGGGAAATTTCTATTTTCAGGATGTGGATAATGAGCAGCAGGGGTAGGCAAGACCGGCTCCAGCATCTGCGTGTTTGTGCAGCTGGGCGAAGTAGGGCATCCGTGTCCCCCTTGTGCCCCCAAGCAACCACCCCCCAAATGGCATCTATGTTGGAGGACACCTGAGCCGCGGCAGGATTTGGATGGAAGAGGAGAGGGACGCATCCCCCAGGTGGCCACCAGGGGTCAGTGGGGTGCCTCCAGCCGGCCTTCCCAGAGGCAGCACGTGCTTCTCGGGATGAGAAGGCACTTCACCTCCCCGCTGGCAGGCGGGGTCCACCCTCAGGTAGGAGGGACAGCGCCGGACCACTAGCGCAAACGCGGTGTCCAGCTTGGGGCTGTGTCCAGCCCACTGTCTGTTTGCTTTGGGAACAACCCAAGGATACATCTCAGCGTTTGAGGGATGTGAAAGTGGAAAACATTGCACAAGCCCCCGGAAAGCTGTGGACACACCCATCCCCCTGGCCCGGATGCTGCCTGCTCTGCGTTCCTGCTCCCCCACAATGGTGCCAGGGCTTTCTTCCTGATGCCCACAAGTTTTCCTTTGGGGAACTGCCTAAGGCAGTTTGACATGGCCCTTCTTCCCTTGGGTGCCCGGGGTCTCCAAACCAGGGCAAATGAGCAAGGGGGCATGGTCGGGTGGGGTGGAGGGCTGGCTGGGGCCTCAGAAAGGGACGCTCTCTCCCCTCGCAAGTATCCAGGATGTGGGGTTGGGCACTAGAGACCAGGCCAGGGGCTGCTTTAGGCCCAGACCGGAGCTGAGGTCAGCGACAGCCTGTGGAATGTTCCTAGCCACGATTTTCTGTGTGGCTGGTCTGGGTCAGCCTTACCACAGAGGAGGGGCTGCCAGATCACATGATACGAGCTGAGAGGGCCACACACTTCCTTTCGGTACCCAGGGGGCCTGCGCCCTGTGGCAAACTCTTCCTGCAAAGCTGAGTGGGGAATTCTGCCAGGCCAAAAGAGGATGGGTTGGTCTGCTTCCCAACCCTTCCTCAGGTGAAAAGCTGGGGTTTTGAAATTCTGGAATGACTACGTTTAGCCAAGACGCCCATTTCTCTCTCTTGGGTAGTTTTCAGAATTGGAAACTGGTTTTCTTCGTAGGGACCTCTACCCACAGGAGTCGACAGAACCACGTGTTGATGTCAGCAGGGGAAAGCGAGCTTCTGGCTCGGGTTCACTTGGCAGTGCTGGGGGAGGTGGGGAACGTCAGAAAGTTCTGTTGCCGGGGCACCTGGGTGGCTCCATCCGTGAAGCGTCTGCCTTCGGCTGGGGTCATGATCCCAGGGTCCTGGAATCGAGTCCCACATCGGGCTCCCTGCCAAGCAGGGGAGTCTGCTTCTCCCTCCCTCTGCCTCACTCCTACTTGTGTGCTCTGTCTCAAGTAAATAAAATCTTTAAAAAAAAAAAAAAAGTTCTGTAGCCAAGAAAGGACACAGTTCCCAGACTTTCCCTCCTCAGCCGTGGTTGGCAGAATAACAGCCCCCCAATGTCCAGGTCATAATCCCCGGCACCAGTGAGTATGTTACCTTATATGGCGAAAGAGACGTTGCGGACGTTTAGGAAGCCCTACGTTAAGGCTCTAGAAGGGTGAGATTATCCTGGATTATCTGGGTGGGGCCAATGCAATCACAGGGTTCCTAGGAGGAAGAGGGAGGTAGGAAAGTCTGTCAGAGATGCGACAACAGAAGTAAAGGTCAGACAGATCTGAAGTCCTGTGCCACTGGCTTTGGAATGAAGGGAGGGTCCTGGGCTGAACAATGCAGATGGCCCCTAGAAGCTGGAACAGGCAGGGCAACACAGCCCTGCTGATCCTTTTGAAATTCTGATATCTGGGCATCAGTGGGAACCTAATATGCTAACACACAACTCAGTTTTGTTCTTCCAAGGACTGGGGAATAAACGCATCTTCTCAGGGAGCCAAAGACACCATAAGTCAAGGTGCGAGGTGAGATCTGAAAGTCAAGGGAGCAGTGTGCAAGCCTGGGCGTGCAAGGAAGGAAGTGTGGCAGCCGGTGCAGACATAAACAACCCCTCCCAACAGATCGCTCCCTGACAACACAGGGAGGAAGGTAGGTCTGGCTTCCAGACACCCCTTTCCTCCAACACCCGCATGAGCATGTCCCTTTTTCAGGACACCTCGTACGTGCGTTTTTGATCGAAAATGTGCAACATTAAAAAAATTGTAATACATTAGTTCACACTAGAGTCCTAATGACTCCTCAGTTCTTCCTCCCAGAGCAATCTGCATTTGCAAAAGAACACTCCCACAGAAGATCGGGCAGACCCTAAGGAACAGATTCAGCCAAATCTATCACAGGGAGAAGGCCAAGGGCCGATGAAGGCAGAGGTGTGGTGATGCATCGCCCAGCCAAGGAACAGCAAAGTTTGCCAGCCAACCACCAGCACTAGCAGAGTGGCCTGGGACAGATCCTCCCCTACAGCCCCAGAAAGAACTGACCCCGCCAACATACTGATCTCAGATTTGGGCCTCCACGTCTGTGAGACAGTAGATTTCTGGCAAGCCACCCGGTTCGTGGCACTTTGTTACAATGACCCCAAGAAACTAACAGAATAGCCTTCAGCTGCTGAGCAGGCTTCAAAAGTGAGCGGAGTGGGCGTGGCCCACAGGTGGCCACATTGAGAGGGTTCCCGAGGCTAATGACCGTGTCAGCGAGCTAGAATCGGCAGGCCTGGAGGTGAGGGTGGAAGGCAGAGCCCAGACAAGACCTGTGCTCCCAGCCCCAGCAAGGAAACCCAGGAGGACGAGAAGGCCACTCAGAAGGTAGAGCGAGGCTGACCGCACCACACGCCCAGAGTCGATGAGCTACAGCAGAAACAGAAACTCTGAACACTCCCTGCGAGCAACCAAGAATCCTGCGTGACCAGTCTGCCCTCCTGGATGGCCACGTGCGGCACACCCCGCCACCCCCCAATGCCTGGCACGGTCAGCAGCGTCTAGGAAACTCTCAGAATGGAAAGCCACATCTGGGGCTGTTCTAGAACACCAGTCTGAAGAAGAGTTTGCAGGGACGGACACCTTCCTTCCCTGCTCTTGCAGCCTCCCAGGCAGAAAAGACTCAAGGTCAAGGGAGGCCTGGAGGCTCTGCAACTCAGCTTGGGAGCTGAAACTTCCCAGGGAGGACTGCTTCAGGGAACGGTGGGATGGCTGGCATCCTATCCTAATAAAAGCAAGTCATTTGCCATCTGGCGGCCTTGGCTCCAAGTTTCCGGAGAGCTGGAGCCAGGCCCAGTAAATTCCTGCTTTAGGAGCTGTCAGGTGTGTCTCCCTGGGGAGGGGGCTGTCCATGAGGAGGAAGGGGGTGGCTGGGAGAGACGGAAAGGCGGTCTTTTTCACCTGTGAGACAAGTATTACCTTCAAGGCGAGCTGGGAATCAGGTCCGATCAAGCCAGAGGCCAGGCCCACGGTGGACCTGCTGGGCACAGGGCCTAGCTGCTTGATCAGGACATGGGGGAGGAAGCCTGGAGAGGGCTTCAAGGTGTTTCCTCTTTCTCTGGGAGACCCTGCACAGCGGGGGCATGGGGGCAAGCTCTGTGGCAAGCCACCTACCAGGTCAACGGACACTCAGCCATCAGTGAGAAGTCTGGGGTGGGCTCAGTGTATCAAGGCTGGGGGCAGGACTCCTGGGCCCGCTTCTCAGCTCTGTTGGGAACTGGTTTGGCAGCTTGGGCAAGACCCTTCACCTCCCTGGGTTTCGGTTCCCCCAACTGTCAAAGGGCCACAAGCATTGTGTTCTTGCCCAGTCCTGTCTTTTGAGCCTGGGATACTGATGGGTGAATTGCTGGAAATAGATATGGTTCTTTAGAGAGAGGATGGAGGTCAGTGGGGGCCTGGAGAGACGGAGCCTGGGAACCAGGAAGTGAATGACAAGAATGAGGGGGGCAGAGCAGAGACCGTGGAGGTGAGGGGGGCAGGGGAAGAGGCGGCAGGGAGGACAGAGGAGCCATTGTGCGGACTGGAACCGGGGCCAGAGGGCTTTGCCCTTCACCTCCCTCCCACTGGGCCCCCGGAGGCCGGATAAAGAAGCCAGCAGGCTGCTCCGCCTCCCCTCGCCGGCAGGCTTTCTGGTCAATCCCGCCCCCGCCCGGCCCTGCGACTCCAGGGGTTCCAGCCTGGGGCGCTGGGAGGAAGAGAGGGACCCTGGAGCAGGCGAGCTTTCTCACCACGGACTCCTGCACAGCCAGGTCTTCACTTCCCTGTGCCTCAGTTTCCCACCGGACTCCAAGGTTTAAAGCGGCGGCTCTTCAGGCCTGATTGAGGTGCCCTCCCGAGCGGGGGAGAGGGGGAGGCTACGCTGGCCTTCTCCGCAGCCACCTCCCTCCAGGCTGAGATCTCGGGGAGCACTGCCCCGCGTCCCGCGTTTTCCAGGCGCCCAATCCAGCCTTCGACCCTAGCCTTCAGTGGAGGGGAAGACGGGAGGGGAGGAGGAGGTGGGGAGGGTGGGCTGGATCTGGCCCTCTGGCTCCCCGCACGGAGGCTCCCCCTCCCGCCGCCGCTCGCGTCCCCGCATCGCGTGACCACGGCACTGCGGCTGCAGCGCTGCCCTCCCCTCGCCGTGCCGGATTCCTGGGGGGTGGGGGGCCCGGACGTTCAAGACCGCGGCCGCGGCGCCGCGAGCGGGTGACGACGCCCCAGGTCCTTCCCCTCGTTCTTAGTTGTACGGAGTTTCTCGACCCGGCAGCGCGTCGCTGAGTCACCTTCCCGGAACGCGCTCGGGACGCTCAGGACCCAGCCAGGGCCGCCCGGGGGCCGCGCCAGGCGCAAGCGCGCACCACTGCGACGCGCGCCGAGCCGCGAGGCCCCGGGCCCGCGCGTCCCAGCCCGCGCCTCCCTCCTAGCCGGGGACCTCGGGCTCCGCCCCCCAGGTGCTGGGAAACGGGGCCGGGCGGCCTGCGTCCCCCGGAAGAGACCCCACGGAGGCGTGCCCGAGTTACGGACGCCGCGGGCCCTGAGTCTTCTCGGTTTTCAGGGGCGTGGACGAGAGCTGGGGGTGTAGGGGCTGGTGGCCGCAGCTGGGGGCGCGTGAGCACGCAGCGGGCTGGGCCCGGACCACCTCCGCGCCCTTCAGGGGGTTAGGCCTTCTCTAACTTTGGCCCCACCTGGTCAGGTCACCTAGTCGGCTTTGGCAACGTCCTCCTCCGGGTCTCCGCAAACAACCCCCCAGGGACTTAACCCGAGTTGGTCGCGGACACGTTCAGGTCAGACCCTTGCCCGTGACACGTATATCACTCACTCACACACACACTGACACACGTGTCCCCGTTTGCCTCCGTCGAAGTGAAGACTCCCGGGGCGCTTGCATCCTCCCGCTGAGCCGGTGGGGCCGGGAGGCGGCGGGGGCCACTCTCCCGTTGTGCGGCTCTCCAATCCCGACGGGGGACCCCTAGACCTTGTTTACACCGCCAGGCTCCCCTCTGGCGGGTGAGGGGCGTGGGCCAGGATCGCCTGCTGCCGGGCAGCTTCTCTCGCCCAGGTGAGCCTCGATGGTTTCCTCTGGGGAAAAGATCCAACTTTTAAGGTTCTTGAGAAGGCCCCCTCCTCCGGACCGCAGCCCCCCCCCCCCCGGCGGGTCGCCTGCCTCCCCGCGGTGTGGGGGTGGGGGGGCGCCTGGCTGCCTCGGGCTCGGTGGCTGCGCTGCCGAGCTGCCGCGCCAGGAAGCCAAAAATAATCCTTCGGGGGCGAGCGGGCGCGGCAGGAGAGACGCCTCGGCACAGAGGAGGGGTACCCAGACGGGTCTGGGCCTCGAATTCCGGTGGACTGGGGCGGGCCGCGCGCAGGGGGAAGACCCCGAGGTGGGAGGTCGCAGCGTCCAGGGGCAGCCTAGGGTCTGCCCCCAGCTCCGAGCCGCGCGCGCCCCGCGCCCCACCGGGGCCGCTCCGACTCGGCGCCGCGAGTTCACCCTTGCGCGCCCGGGACGCTGAGCTCGGGGCGCGCCGCCCGTGGCCGGACCCGGGGCTCTGCGCCTTGCCGACTCCGGCCCCGCGGCGGCACCGCCTTCTCGCCGGTCGCCCAGTCTGAGCGGCGGGCGCGCGTGACCGCGTTCCGGGACCCAGCCAAGCGTCTGCGCGTGGCCGAGCCGCGGGCGCTGACCGTGCGGAAGGCGGCGGGGTGATGCCGGGGGCGGGGGGGGGGCGGGCAGGCCAGGCCACGCCAGGAGCCGGTTCCACCCCCGCCAGCGCGGGGAGCGCGGGGTGTGGCCAGGCCGGGCGCAGGGGCACAGCGCCCTTCCCGCACCGCGGCGCCTGGCGGCGAAGTTGAGCGAAAAGTTTGAGGCCAGAGGCGGAGAGGCCGTGCAGTCAGCATTAGTCCGGCGCTCCGGTTGTCGGTCAGACGTGGGGCCGAGCCCGGGACGAGCTGAGTTCCGCCCTAGGCCACTGTAGGGAACGGAGGTGGCGCCTCCCCCGCAAACCGGACCGACTGGGTAGGGCCTCCCGCCCTGCCTTCTCGCCGCTCGTCGCTCCTGGGCGCCCACTCGGCGCTCCGCTGAGGGAGGCGGCGGCCGGTGGCGGGGCTCGGGCTCAGCCCTCGCGCGACCCCGGCGCTGCTCCCACGAGCGAGGCGCGCGTCCCTGCAGCGCTGCCCGGCCCTGGGGGGCGCGTGCGGCGACCCCCGCCGCCCTGGAGCTCGGGGTAGTGGGCGCAGCCACCCGGCGGGCTCGGGGCGGCGATCGCTCGCGCCGAACTTCGTGCCCCGCGATGTCCGCTCAAGTTCTGGCATTTTTACGCAACTGGACCCCCGTCCCCCTGGCAGCCCCGGGGCGGGTGAGGAGCTGGTGCGACCGAGAGAGCTACGGGGCTCTGACTCATCGTCGGGCCGGAACCCGACGCCCCTGAGAGGAGATCCCCCAGAAAGAGACCCTTCGCCTCTGCGGGTGGGGGCTCAGCCCTTGGTGGCACCAGACCTCGGCTCTCTGGACCTCTCGGAGGACTAGGCGATGCCGGAGCGCGCGGCTCCCCGCGCATGGTCCGAGGATCTAGCTGGACGCTCCCCACCTCAGGGGGCCGTTCCGGACTCCGCCAGCGCTGTCTCCTCTCCCTCAGATCCGGCAGCCGCAGGGGATGACGCGGGCGCCTCCACGGCCCCGGCTCCGGGCGGGGAGGGCGACCCCCTCAGCCCGCACCGCGACGCCCGCCTGGGCAGCACCGATAAGGAGCTGAAGGCAGGAGCCGCCGCCGCGGGCAGCTCCCCGACAGCGCTGGGGACGCCCTGGCAGCGGGAGCCGCGGGTCGAGGTTCTGGATCCAGGTTTGTGGGGTCCCGGGGGGGAAGGGGTGGGGGGGGGGGGGGTGTCTCTTCCTCCCTTGCCAGGAAGAATGGCCAGAGTCAGCTGGGCAAGAGAGAGGGGCTGGGGACAATCGAAACACTTTTCCTGACACGAGGCCAGAAGCTGGCCCGGCTCGAGCCAGGGACCGGGGTGTCAAGGGCGAGGTGCTCCCTCCTGGAGCTTCACTGGAGGCCGCTGCCTCCTGCCAGGCTCTGTTGGATCAATTTCCAGGAGATTTCAGTCCCCACGTTTCCGTCCCGGTACCCCTGTGGTGATCCGCGGCCCCCTAGTGGCCGGTTGGGGACGCGGCCTTTTGGGGCTTGTTTTTCCAGCGGGCGGCGCCAGGAGCCAGCTGCCCCGGCCCTGCCGCGTGCTGGTCCTGTTAAACCCGCGCGGAGGCAAGGGCAAGGCGCTGCAGCTCTTCCGCAGCCACGTGCAGCCCCTGCTGGCTCAGGCCGATATCTCCTTCACGCTGATGCTCACTGGTGAGTGCCTCCCCAAGGGGTTGCAGGGAGCATCCCCTGCCAGGGCCCCCCAGACCCCCGTGGCCACCCTGTCTCTCCATAGAGCGACGGAACCACGCTCGGGAGCTGGTGCAGGTTGAGGAGCTGGGGCGCTGGGATGCGCTGGTGGTCATGTCTGGGGACGGGCTGATGCATGAGGTGAGGCCCGCCTGGGAGGGACTGGGTGTGTGTGGGGGGGGCTGTGCTACCCAGGCTGAGCCGCCCCGCCCCCACCCCGCGCTCCAACAGGTGGTGAACGGGCTCATGGAGCGGCCGGACTGGGAGACCGCCATCCGGAAGCCCCTGTGTAGCCTCCCAGCTGGCTCTGGCAATGCACTGGCAGCTTCTTTGAACCATTATGCCGGGTGAGAGCCCAGGGTCAGAGTGGGCCTCGGTTTCCCCTCGGTGCCACTCTCCTGCCAGGTTTTCTTTTCTAAGTTCCCATATACTGACGTAACTTCTATTCCTTCTTCTCTGGAGACTGCACCCCCAGTTCTGGGGCCCTCTCTGGGTGACTCCAGCTGCCTGCCTCCACCTGCTCCATCTGTCATTCCTCCCAGTGCCCTAGGGACCCAGTGTCCCCCTGCCCGCCTTGAGTCCCCAGGCCGAGGAAGGGGAGGACGCGTGAGGCCTCCTGCCCGGCTCCATCTGACCTCTCTCCCTTGCAGCTATGAGCAGGTGACTAATGAGGACCTCTTGACCAACTGCACGTTGCTGCTGTGCCGCCGGCTGCTGGCGCCCATGAACCTGCTGTCCCTGCAGACGGCCTCGGGGCTGCGCCTCTTCTCCGTGCTGAGCCTGGCTTGGGGCTTCATTGCCGACGTGGATCTGGAGAGTGAGAAGTTTCGGCGTCTAGGGGAGATGCGCTTCACTCTGGGCACCTTCCTGCGCCTGGCGGCCCTGCGTGTCTACCAGGGCACGCTGGCCTACCTCCCTGCAGAAAGGGTGGTCTCCCAGGTGCCCGCCCCCCGCTCTGTGGAGCGGCAGGACCAGCAGGGGCCTACGGATGCCCACCTCGTACCCCTGGAGGAGCCGGTGCCCCCGCACTGGACTGTGGTCCCGGAGCAGGACTTCGTGCTGGTGCTGGCACTGCTGCACTCCCACCTGGGCAGTGAGATGTTTGCTGCCCCCATGGGCCGATGTGCGGCCGGCACCATGCATCTGTTCTACGTGCGGGCCGGCGTGTCCCGGGCCATGCTGCTGCGCCTCTTCCTGGCCATGGAGAAGGGGAGGCACATGGACTATGACTGTCCCTACTTGGTGTATGTGCCTGTGGTTGCCTTCCGCCTGGAGCCCAAGGACGGGAAGGGTGTGTTTGCTGTGGATGGCGAGCTGATGGTCAGCGAGGCTGTGCAGGGCCAAGTGCACCCAGACTACGTCTGGATGGCCGGTGGCTGCATGGAGCCCCCACCCAGCCAGAAGCCTCAGCAGGGAGCACCTCCAGGAGAGCCCTTATGACTCCGTGGGCCTTGCCGTGCCTTAGCCTCCTTGGTCACCTCGGAGCTCAGGACCCTCCACAACCTCCACCCAGGCCTGGAGGGCCTGTCCACAGCTCACGTGGTAGGGAGGAGGACCCCTGAAGACGGTGGGAAGGTGGAGGCTGTGCTTTAGAAGGCCAGTCTCTGCCTACCGAAGGCCAGAATGAGGCTCTGGGCCAGGAGCCCAGCTGGTTGGGCTCCTCCCTGCCTCTGGAAGCCACTCCCATTTTGTTTCTGGGAGCCCAACCCCATGAATCAAATAAAGTGACATTCCCAGCCTACTGGTTTTATCCTAGGTGTTGGGGAGGGAGTGGGATCTCGCTCCTGCTGGGGCTCTAGAACTTCACATTAGCGATGCCCAGTAGTGGGCAGTGGATGGGCCAATGCATGGTACTAACTTGTAAGCATCATTTGGGTGGTGGGCACAGGACCAGGGCTAGCCCAGGCTTTTTTTTTTTGCAGGGGTTAGGGTCCTGCCCCAATGATTATACCACCTTTGGCCTGGGAGAAGCCAGGGAGGTCAGCCAACTCCCTGGCCCCGTGTGGAAGACAAACTCAGAGCTAGTATGTGGTACCCAGGGCCACACAGCCAGATGCTCTCAGTAGCACGAAGAGGGAAGCGTTCTCTGATTTCGGGGGCATTACAGAAATTAGCAAGAAGCGACAAGGTCACAACGGAGGCACTTGTTCTCTCTTGAAAGGAGTCTGTTATCCCTCCAGCGAGGGCGCTGGGGCTCCCCTGCCCTGCCGGGTCCTCAGGGGGCGGGAGTGAAGAGGAGGAAGCAGGGAGGGGCCGATAGCAGGCCCCCCCACTGGTTGTAACCATTTTGGCTTAAAGGCCAGGCGCTTCGACTTGGGCTCCCCGAGCATCTGGAAGGCCCCCGGGGACCACAGCCGCTGCTGGCAGATAGTGCTAAAAACCGGCTCTGGAGGACAAGCTGTCCCCACAAACAAGAGCGCTGCCCCAGTGAACGAGGCCCCCCCGTCTTCCAGCCCCCAGGACGCCCGCGGCTGCAAACACGGAAGGCACAGACGCAGACCGGCTAGGGTGGAAGGAGCTGGTGTCGTGAACCTTTCTGGCCACGGGTCTTGCCTTCCCCTGGGGAGGGACGTGTGAGGTGCCCCGGAGGGGAAGAAAGGCGACAGAGCCCAGATGAACGGCAGAGGCAGGTTTAATGGTGCCATCTAGTCTGTTTGGTACATTGTAATGAGCCAAACAAAAAAAATGCAAGTAAAAAAAAAGTTTAATCACACAGCACTTTATACAGAGATCTTAAGCAGTAGGCATTCACATCTCCACATGAACAGCGCACAGCCCCACCCGTCACTCTGGATGTTTCTCAAACAAGATACCGACTCAGGGCTCCAGATGCCGCGGCCCGTGGCGGCTCTGTCCTTCCCCGCGGCCGCCGCCTGCCGGGGGTTATGGCACAAGCCCAGGTGTGGAGCCAGCTTAAGGCGGACAAGACGCATCATGCTTTGGCTTCTTTTTTTTTTTTTTTTTTTTGTCTTTTTTTCTAATAAGAGTTAATATCTTTGCTTTTGAGATTTTCTTTCAACCTTAAATATTACATACATACACCAAAAATTACATAGCTGCAATGTGCTCAACAGCATCCTCTTAACCTGGAGCTTCACATTATCAAAAGCTTAGAAAACTTGTAAACCTCTGGGCCTGTCTGAGAGGGAGGAGAACCCCCATCGGCCACCTCTCTCTCCCCGGGTTGAGCCTGCAGAGTTTGTCAGCGACGGGAGGCCGAGTGCGGCTGGCTCCTTCTGTGTTCAGTGAGCTACAGGCCACCTCCCAGCGTTAGCATTTGATGGTGGGAGGGGCAGAGTGTGCGAGAGAGGCCCTAGCCCTGGCCCTGGCCCTGGCCTTGTCCGCGCCGCTGCCCGGCCGCCCGGGGCCCTGGGGTGGGGCTGGGGTGGAGCCGGGAGCCGAGCCGGGAGCGGAGCTGTGGTGGCGGGCCCAGGCCAGCGGGGGGAGGGGAGGCCGGAGCGCCAGAGCAAGGCACCTACCGCCGTTTTTCCCAGCAGCTCCCCGATCCTCATTCCATGTCACATGTGAGGGCTGCCACCTCTCCTGGGTGTCCCCCTGGACCCAGCCTGGTCCCAACCTCTCTTAGAGAGCAAGTTCAACAGGCCTGAGGGTTATCCTGTGGTAAATGGTCCAGAGCAGAGCCAGGAGTCGGTGACAGCAGCTGTGGGGGGGGGGGGACAGGGGGGGGGGGGGGGGGGGGGAAGGGGGGGGGGCTGGTGGCGGTGGCAGCAGGGGGGCCTGGGACCGGGGAAGCTACAGGGGCACTGGGGAGGTCGACAGGGACTGGGGGAACTGCTGGAGCAACCCACACTTCATGCAAGGCACATCCACTCGTCCTGCCGCGGGGCCCAAAGAGAGCCCTCGTGTCAGGCCCCAGGAAGACCCACCTCCGACCTGAGATGGGGACGGCAAGGGAGCAGGTGCCAGGACACTCTGCCTAGGTGACAAGTGGAAAATCAGCAACAGGTTTCAGATTCTCGTTGCCACAGGGGACCAGCCTGCTGAAAGACTGCTTCGGGAAAGAAACGGCAGCATCTCAAGAAACTTCTTGCACTTCAGCATCAAACTCACCTTGGGGAGAGGGCAATGAGGGGCTTTTGCATTGGGGACAAAGGAGAAAACAGGAAGACAGGCGATTCCAGGGGAGGGAGCGAGCGGGCAGCAGCTGGCCTCCCCCCACGGGACATTGCTTCCTCAAGGGCGGGCAGCTACTTGTCCTCTGTGCTCTCAGGCATGCCCGCCTCTAGCAGAGCGGCCCGGAACTGCGTCAGGACACCCCGGATGCTCTTGATGAAACCCTTAGAGAGTGGGAAGAGAGGGAAGCCGATGTCAGGGTAGCCGCTCTTCTCAGGCAAGAAGCTCCGGTAGCTCTTCCTCCGCTTCTTTGGTTTGACGCTGGGTGGCACCGGGGCGTCAGGCGCTGCCTCCGAGCTCTGGTCTGTGTGGTCCCTGCTAGCTGAGGCCGGGCCCTGGGCACCGCCCTCCGAGTCTGAGCCCTGGGAGGCCTCTCCAGGGGCCAGCCCTCCGTCCTCAGGTTCTTCTCGGCTGTAGTCGGAGAGCTCGGCCACGGCAGGCGGCTCCGGGGAGCTGCTGTCCTTGGGGATCCCGTTGGGCAGCGCCTGGGCTCTCTCCAGCAGGGCGTGGGTTTCCAGCCAGGACTCGATGCGGCTCACCAGCCGCCAGCCACCAGTGCGGAAGTGCTGCCGGATCTCCTGCTCGAAGACCTCGGGGGGCCGCCGCACCAGCTGGGTCACGGACTGCACCACGCGGATGAGCGCCATCTCGTTGTAGCAGCGGCTGTTCTCGTAGCCCTCCTGCAGGCCCCGGTCGCTGTCGAAGCCCGCCTCGTTGTAGTAGGGCTCGTTCACCAGGATTAGGCCTGCGGGGGCGGGGGGGGAGCCATCAGGGCCGGGCTGAGGGCCCCCCGAGGACAGCCGGAGCTGGAGATGGGCGGGGGAGGTGGGAAGGCCAGCGAACCCTCCAGCAGCGCCCCCCGCCCCAGCCCTCACCCTGCCCACCGTACCTTGGATGGAGATGAGCACCTGGAGGAGGCTGGACTTGCTCGTCCACCTCTCCGTCCCCTGAAACACACATACCCAGGACGGTCGCCTCTGTCCCAGACACCCGCCTCCGACCAGCTGCCCTTCCACCCCGGCTGGTCGGCACTATACTCACCTTTCCAATCCAGGTGCCCAGGAGGCTGACACACACCTTCCCATTGTCATACAGGTTGGGGTTCAGGCGGCCACTGCACTGGGAGAGGTAGCAAAAGTGGGGGGGCACGGCTGGGTAGATGTTGGGGAGCTGGATGTCAAACAAGTAGAGGCCATCCTCGTAGGGGGTGCGAGTGGGGCCCTTGATTAGGGCCGAGAAGAGGTCCTACAGGGAGGGAAGGCTGAGGTTGGTGGAGGCTTCTGTGTGGATCCGGGGGTGGGGGGGGCAGGGGAGGAGAGAACAGCCCCCGGGGCGTCCAGACACCACCAGCTATGGGGAAGCTAAACGCAAATATCTGTGTGGGCTGACAAGGCATGTTTTACCTCCTGGTGTAAACAGAATTATCTAAACTTGTTTTTATTTTACCAGGTGTTTTACATTGTTTTTCAGTCATTACTTGTAAGTAGAAGATGAGAGAACATTCCAGTGGGCAAGGGGACCTGGAACTCCGGTGGAAATGTGGCAAACCACCAAAGAAACTCAGGTCATTAAGTCATCGGGAGACTCCCCACAGCTGTTAGAAATCTGTGTATCGGGCGTGGGGGCGGTGTCAACTCAGAGCCACGCATGTGACATCGCGTGATGGGAAAGCAGCGAGGGCAGAGGGCTGGCTGGAAGGACGGAGCCTCTTATGCATGTGCTCACTGGTGCCACCCTGCAGGCCTCGAGGTAACGCACCACTTCCCCGTCCCTCCGAGTGAGACCTGGGAAAAACGCCATTCCCTTCTTCTCTCAGCAGAGCTGGGACAGGCTGGAATTTTCAAGTTTTATTAAAACTCAAGGAAAAAGCAAAAGTGTCCCTAAGAACCCTGAGCAGGGGGGGGGTGGGGGGGATGGGGTAACTGGATGATGGGCACTATGGAGGGCATGTGATGCATGAGCACTGGGTGTTCCATACAACTGATGATCACTGACCTCTACCTCTGAAACTAATAATACACTCTGTTAATTGAATTTAAATAAATAAAAAAGAGGGGCACCCGGGTGGCTCAGTTGTTAAGCGTCTGCCTTCGGCTCAGGTCGTGATCCCAGGGTCCTGGGATCGAGCCCCGCATCGGGCTCCCTGCTCCGCGGGGAGCCTGCTTCTCCCTCTCCCACTCCCCCTGCTTGTGTTCCCTCTCTCACTGTGTCTCTCTCTGTCAAATAAATAAATAAAATCTTAAAATTAAGTAAATAAAAAATTAAAATAAAGGAAGAAAAAAGAAAAAAGAACCCCGAGCAGCCCCACCCCGTGGCTTCCAGCCTGCCACAGGCAGGGCCAAGCAGCGCCTGTCTCCTGTTCTGTGGCCCCTCTGACCGGGGCTGGGCTGTAGCTGGGGCCCGGGTCAAACTCAGGTTCAGTGTCTCGCACAATGCGCGGCTCACATCAGGGGCCCGGTGGAGGTGTTGACTGAACGACGTGACAGATGGACCAGGCTTGCCTATGCCTGGAACGAGGAACAGCGCACACCACCTCGGGTGGCATGACTCAACCCTGGGCCCGGGCCGCAGGGAGAGGAGTGGAGAACGCAGTGGGACAAGGCCACGTGGGGGGTACTAGTCCACAGCCAAAAGAGCATGAGCTAGATCACGAGCCACCAACATCAACAGGTCTCAAGAATGACGCCACTGAGCAAAAAAAGCAAACTACCGGTGATGTGTACAATGACGGGCTGTTCACATAAGACGAGTCACACAAAATAATGTTTCTGGTGATGCAGGAGAATGTGAAGATATAAAGAAAGGTCTTCTGTAGGGAGACCCACAAAACTCCTAAAGTCATGACGCCTACAGGCTGGGTGAGGACTGGTCAAAGGCAACTTTAGCTTTTTCAGTAACGCTCTAATATTTCAAAAGAACAGCACTCAGGTAACAACTGTGTACCTTTAAGAGCAGGGGGAAGAGAACACCCCGTGTGGTGTAGACAAGCGTGTGGGACCTGCCCCCTCCCCCGGCTGAGCCTGTCTCCTGCCCTGTAAGCAGCGTGGGTGGCCTCTCAGGTGCTGCTCAGTCCTGGGGCTCCAGGAGCCCAAAGCCAGCCACCTCCAGGGCACCAAGCACCCACGCAAGCATGGCTGCACCTGCCCGCGCCAAGCCCATGCCAGGCTACTTGCCATTCTGTCCTCGAAAGTCTTGACCATGATGCCATCGGGCAGCGAAGTAGCCAGCAGCGCCATCTCCTTCCGCACCGTGCTGAAGAACTTCTTGGCTTCTGGAGGCTGGAACTCAATTTTCTTAAAAGAGTGATTTGCTAGAAGGGGAAAAAAGAAGGGTCAATCCCTAATGGCAAGGCCTGAGAGCTCTATCTGGAAAGATAGCTGCCGCCCCTGGGAAGCGTGGGCCCGGAGGGAGCAGCTGCTGGGTGCGCTCCCTGGACAGGCGAGTAACCCCACATGCCTCACACCCACTAGCCTGGCATCCGCACCACTAGCCTGGCATCCGCACCACTAGCCTGGCACCCGCACCACTGGCCTGGCACCCGCACCACTAGCCTGGCATCCGCACCACTGGCCTGGCACCCGCACCACTAGCCTGGCATCCGCACCACTGGCCACACCAGGGAAATGGTGTCCTCCCCTCCGGCGGCGGCTGGGGGCTGGCAGGGGAGCGGCCCCGACAAGGTGAACTCACAGGGCGCAAACTCCAGCACCGAGAAGACCTCGCCCTTGGCGCTGGTGAAGGTGACCCCGGGCCGGCCGCCGCACTGCTGACAGAGCACCGGGGTCTCGCTGGGCCGCTCGGCCCTCGCCGGCGGCGGCCGCTCGGGCTTGTCCTCCCCGCGCTCTGCGTCCGGCGCTGCCTCCATCTTCTCCTCCTCTGCGATGGCCACGTTGTCCAGGGTCTTCTTGAGATTTTCCTGCAGCTTCTTAATGTCATCTAGAAACTTCTTCTCCCGAGTGGGCTTCTCAGGCTCCACCGTGGGGGAGGTGGGGGAGCCCGTCAGAAGCTGCTCCACGGTCATGTTCTTGAGGCTCTCCAGGATCTTGATGGCCTCTTTCAACTCGCGGAAGCTCTTTGGGGGCCCGTCCTTGCCAGCCTTCTCCATCAGCCCAGCCACAGGGGCGGCCATGGCCACAGCCCCCTGAATGGCGGCCGTGGCGGCCTCCTCGCTGACCACCACCCCCTTGTCTTCCTCTGGGGCTGCCGGCTGCTCAGTAGGTGGGACGGGGGGCTCCTCGATCTTGGGGTGCTCATCCTCCACCAGCCCGTTGTCGGTCTCCCAGCTGTCACTGTCGTCTTCCCACTCATCTGAGGATGCCCCGCTGGTGCTGCCTTCCACCGAGTCATAGTCTGACTCCTCAATCTCAGACTCAATGTTGTACAAGTGCTGGGGGCAGATGGGCACAGGCAGTTCAGAGAGGCTCTACCGGGCTCCGGGGTGGACCCCAACCCTCAGAGCTGATGGTGACGGGGCGTGCTGAGGCCTCAGCGGGCCCCCTCCACCCTTTTCCCCCTTCCTGCTCTGGACTCTGCAGTTGGGCCTCTCCTTCGAGGTGGTCCCTGGGTCTCTGGGAGGTGCCTCTGCCTGCCCCACACCCGCCAGCGGGGCTTGAAGCCCCAGCCAGCAGCCAAGGGCTGTTCTGGCCTCCTCTGCCCCTGTGTGTACAGGCTACTATTAGCCCTTGGTGGCAAATCCAACCCCACCCCAGGGGATTCAGGTCAGCCACCTCTGTGGGGCTGCACCGGTAGCTGAGAACATGCAATAGGAGGGGGAGGTTCGGCAGAGCTGGCCTGTGTCACATCCTGTTCCCGTATTCCTGGAATGGCCGCCCGGACGAAGGGGTGAGCCACTCCCTCCCCACCCCATGAGGGGCCAGGAGAGGGATCCGGGAGTAAGGATCAGCTCAAACAAGGGGGCAAAGAAACGGTACCGAGAACAGCTTAGCTGGGACTGGACTGGGGCCAGCTCTTTTCCTTTCTCTTCCTGATCTGGGGAAGTTTTCCTAGAAATGTTCCTAGAGGAAGTAAACTGCGTTTCTTAGCATAGTGAGATGGGGCTGCAGAAAACCCGGAAGGCTTGTGACAACCTGCACACATCTGGCAACCTGGGGAGCCTTCCAGGCGGGGCAAGACTACAGGCCAGCTACGGGCTGCCCCTCTGCTCTCCTGCCTCCCCCCCACCCCCCCCACCCCCGCCCAGAGCGTGGCATGTAACACCCCCTTCCTCTCAGGCTCTCCCTGAGACCCAAACACCCAAAAGAAGAGACCCTCACCAGGAAGATCTGAGAGCCTGCCTGTCCCCCCATTCCTTGAGCAGGGACGGGAGACAGGCCATGGCTCCCAGCCCAGCTGCCACGGTTGTCAGCCAACTGGTCTGGGTCTGCGCAGGGGCTCACCTGGGGCAGAATGATGGTCTTTGAGTTGTCAGCCCACACCACCTCCACCTTGCTGCTGACGTCCACACGGGCCACCTGGCCAACTGATGGCTGCAGGGCAAACGGGACAGGGTCAAGGGAGCAGCTCTCTGAGGGGTGAGGGCCAGAACACTTCCAAAAGGGAGCTCCGGCAATGGGTGACAAGGGGGAGGCCATAAGAAGGGAAGGAACGTGGGTGCCAGCCAGAGGCCACACGTGGTGAGCAGCTCAAGTGTGGGACCCTCTGGTTCCCGCATGGGCAGTCAAGGACACAAGTCCCTATAACTCCCTTCCTATGCTAGCGTTCTGCTCCCGCCGGACGTCCTGCCCCTCTCAGGATGGGGTTCCTGCCCTGGGACTTTTGTTCCTACTCTTCTTCTGCTTGACCCCACACCATGTTCCCATCCTCACCAAGGCCCAGCTCAGACGCCACCTCCCCAAGCCTCTCCTGTGCCCCTACAGCACTCAGGACGAGGAGCTGGACTAAATGGAGCAGCTGCATGAAGTCTGATCCTGACCGGCAGGCAGATCCCTAGGAGGCACTTGAGGCAGCGGTGGAGCCGAGGACTTGCAGGTCTGGTCTCCTGGAGCCACCTGGTGGCAGCTCCAGGGACTGCAGACGCTGCACGGGAGGCAGAGCAGGGAGAGACCCCCCCTCCCCCAAGCCCCCGGAACTGGTGCGGAGGCATACCTCATCCTCCTTGTGAGGAACTCCATCCTCGGTATTGCCAATGCGGATGACGATGTCGGTTGTGCGGAACCGGAAGTCAGGGTGGTCAGCAATGTCATAGACGCTCACGTCTTCCTCTTCTCCGATCAGCTGGAGGATAGGATGGGCTGTCATGAGCCCCGGGGCCTTAGAGCCAGCCCACCCCGAAGAAGCAGGGGCCACACACACTCACCTCCACGTCATCCCCACTTGGCCGCAGCTTGAACCACTTCACCATGCAGGTTCGGCCCACGTGGTCCCCAGACTGCACCACGCCGTAGACAGCGGGGTCTGGACAGCTCTGGACTGGGGAACCAGAGGAGGGACCATCTAAGGAACCGTGGTGGTGCTGCCTGCAACCCCCCAGACATCTCAACCACAGCAGGGCACAGAACCCCAATGTTCTCTGGCTAGGCTGAGGGAGGCCGGAAAAGACTGTCCTAGGCCTTGAAAAAGCGAGTCATCTTTGAAGGGGGAGTCTCCTCCCTGCCCCTAAGACCTCTGGCCCATCCTTTCCAAGCTCTGCCCAGGCCCTGAGCTGGGCGGCCTTCTAGAGCCAGCACTACCTCGCTTGTCCACCACGAAGTCTCCGGGGCAGAATTCGTTGTTGTCCAGGTGGTGCACGGGAAAGAGGTCGTTGGAGCGAATGTTGCACTCCACGGAGCCATCCTGCCACATGACATCTGCCGAGGTCATGGTGGTCACCACCTCCACGGCCACCCTGCAGGTGCGGTGCAACCAGCCAGCCAGGCCGCACAGAACAGGCAGGAAGGAAGACAAACAGATCCCTACGTGCTCGCCTACACCTCCCGTGCCCTGCGACCTCCTCTGAGGAAGGTCTCATTTGAGAGAGCTCAGTGAATGTGGTCCCAGAGGCCAGACTCGGGGCCGGTGCCACCATGCCACCCACCGCCCCACTCTCCGATCTCTCCTTTCCACCCAGGCCAACCCCGGGCACCTACATCGCCTCGGCTGCGCATCCCTGAGCCTGAAGAGGGCCTGCAGAGTGAGCGAGCGAGCGAGCGAGTGAGTGCTGCGTGCAGGCGCCAAAGGGGTAGCCTCAGGCTGGACACTCGGCCAGGAGGGAGAGGGCGCCCTCTGGGTTTACCTGTCCCCTGGCTTAAAGTCACGAGTGATTTTATTCTTCTTCCGCTTGTGTTTTCGCTTTAAGTTCTTGATAGACAAGGGGATGCTCTTTTTTCTGCTCGTGCCGCTGCCGCTCTGGGAGGAGGTGGTGGAGCTGGCGGAGGAGGTCACTGAGCTGGTGTCGTCCGTGTCGTCAGCAGCCTCGTCATCCGCGTCCCGCTCTGCCGAGTGCAGCCTGTCGCCTCCACCTTCCTTCAGCAGGAAGGGGGGCAGCTGCTCACCCACATCCTGGGCCTCCTCTGAGCCCTCGTCCTGCATTTCCACCGGGCTGGCGGACCCATCAGGCGTCTCCTCGGGGCTGACGGACCCTGTTTCACTCTTGGCTTTGGCCCCTTTCTTTCCTGGGTCCTCCATGGAATGGTCTCCGGAGCACTGGGTGTCCGGGGAGCAGGACATGATCCTCACAACCTGCTTCTTCAACAGGCGCTTCACCTGTGCGGGCAGAGCAAGGAGGGCAGGGGCTGTGGGGCCACCACAGCCCCAACCTGGGCACGTGGAACACGCAGGCAGCTTGGGGGGAGAGGGGCAGCTACACACACCTACGTGGCCTGCAAGGGTGATCGGGGCTGCCCCCCAAGGCCTAGAGCACAGACTGTCCTTCCTGGCTGTGGAAATAGCTCAAGGCCAGTTCCTCAAATGCCCACCGATCCCAACCCCAAGGACATACCTTCTTGGCCATAGAGCCCTCCCCCTGGGCGCAGTGTTTTTCTGGACATTCACAGGCAATCTTGGCCGGCTCTACCTTGGCTGGGAAGACATACAGACAGCGCTCCCCAAGCTGCCGCTGAGCATGGTCAAAGCATCCGAGACGCTTCACCCTGGGAGGGAGAGGAGAAGTGGGGACTGGGCCAAGGATGATCTCAGCGCCCCCCCACCCCCCACCCCCCGCATCTATGACTCTGGCCAAGAGACTTGCTCAGGGCATGCTGCTGCGCTTGTTGGAGTGGGCACGCCGGAGCCACTCACCTGCCTAGGTTTTCCTGGGTAATGACAGAGGGTGGGGGGCTGACGCTGTCCGTGCCCCCTGGACAGAAACTCTTGGTAATCCATGTGACTTTTAGCTCTACAACCTGCACCTGGGGATGGTGGGTGGGACAGGGCCTTAGTCAGCAGCTTAACTGCTCTCTTAGTTAAGCAGCTGCCCAGAGCCCACCTGACCTCCGGAGCAGGAAGTGGGTCATCACAGCATAGCCCCAAGCATGACACCCCCAGAGGAGGCCCCACCTGTAACACCAGGTTACCTCACCCCAGGGACTACCACCACGTCAGAGCCCAGCCGATCTGCCACTTGCCATGGTCCCACCTTGCTCCGTCTGGGTTGGTCAGGCTGGGGGTCATCTGCCTAGCAGTCACCCCATGACCACACCCTGGCTTCCCTTTATTTAGAGCCCTTTCAGATCAACAGGGCTAAGGAGCAGGGCTTAGCCCTCGGAGCAGACAACGAAGGAGTGGGCAGAAGCTCAGCTCCAGGGCATGGAGGCTGAGGACACAGCCCCACCCCAGCCCCTACCTCTTCCACCACCACTCGGAATTTGCTCTTGGTGCTGAGCACAGGCTTGACCCCTGACAGCCACTGGACACTAGAGAAGATCTTGGCGGGGCCAATGAGCACCTGGCCCGGGTAGAAGCCATAGGAGTCATCAAAGAAGAGACCCTGCAGGGTTTGGGGCCAGAGGAAAAGTCCTTTTGAGTGGCGCCTCCTTGAAGGCCAGTGCTCTCTGCATCCACCCCTCCCTCACCTCACACCTGCACACTCCCCCACCTCCCCAAGCTGAAACAGACCCTAAGGCTCCAGAGCAGCACGTCTCAAACCTAAAGTGCATATAAATCACCCAGAGAGCTTATGAGAATGTATATTTTCCTCATTCTAACACGCTCTCAGGCCACGTCAATGTTGTTGGTCAAGGGTGACACTTAGAGGGGTCTAGAGGGCAGTAGTCCCCAAACCTGTTTGATCATGTAACCCCTACCCCATACTTATTTATAACTTGTGGTCATACATGACTGTTCCAAAATATCATAATGTAACAACATAGTATCCAGACTCTAATACCGAAGAATGGATATTTTTTAAAGGGTGAGAACGAGTTAACAAAATGCAAAGAAAAGTTCCAATACCTTCCGCCTACACCCAGACTTTTAGACCTTCTGGTGCATACCCACCCCTTTTGTAGGAAACCACTCTGCCTAGAAGCAGCGCTTGCTTAGCCTGGGCTAGCCAAGCTCTTTGCTAAGCAGTCCTCCTTCCTGTGCCGCCCAGGGGGCAAAGGAACAAGAACCCTGTCCCTCCAAGCCTGCCCCCCAAGAAGATTGCCTGGGTGGGGCACACGTACAGAGTCGCTGACATGGGGGCAGACATCGTAGAGCTTGGCGCCATCTTCTGTGTTCATGGAACACCTGAAAGAGTGAGTAGGGGTTCGGTTCACTGGGCACAATGACAGTCTCAGGGGGGGACGTGGCCACTGGACACACTGTGGTGCTGACCAGTATCAAAAGGAGTTATCCAGAGGCATCGATATGCTGGCAGGCCCTAAAATGGTGTGCTTCATCCCCCACCCACAGCTCAGCCTCCGCATTCATACAAGTAACTCCCTCAAAACAAACAAGACCCTAACCCACATGGGAATGCTCACTACCATTAAAAAGTGTCTAAAATAAAGCATCAGGCCCTAACAGATACTCTAAATGAGGCCAGGGAGACAGAAGACCAGCCCAGCGTCAGGCCTGGAGTGCCTGCAGCACATGTCATCCGGGGCCCGGGAGAAAACACCCTTGGCCCCTCCTCCCCGGGTGGCCCTCGCCCAGTGCGGGCCCGTACAGTGAGCTGTGTACCTGGCACCGTTGGACAGCTTCAGAATGATCTGGTTCTTTAAGTCGTAGACCTTCCCCAGCCAGCAGTCATAGGCAATGTAGTCCCCATACATGAAGGGCTGCAGACCGAGGGAATCGGGGTGTGAGAGATGGCAGGCAACACTGGTGTGCAGCGCACCAATTCCTCTCTGCCCCCTGAGACACGGGAGGTGGGATCCAGATGGCTTACTGCCTGGGACAGTCGGCCAGCAGCCTAAAGAACGGGCTTCCCCCCGAGAGTTCTGTGCTGCAGCCCAGGTCCCCTTCCCAGGGTGGAGGCGGCAGCAGCGGGGGGCTGCCTTGTGGCAACCAGAGAGTTGTGCGGAGGCTTCAGGGCCTCCAAGGACACAGGAGCCTTGGGTGGGAGTGGGCTGTGGAGGTGGCGGGTGGATGGTGGTTAATGGACAAATAAGTAAAGCGATAATTAATAAACTGAGGATATCAAGAGCCAAGTTCCTCACTGCTGGGGAAGTACTCACTGATACAGAAAGGGGGAAGGAGACGAACTCACATATTTTCCTGTGTATGTAGAAAAAGTATTGACAAATGCAGATGTGCCCATGTGTGTATACACGCATGCGTTTCCAGTGTTGTCCTGAAAGGCCCTAGTAGCCTTTCAGTACCAATGAGTACACCTAGCATACATCCCGATCTTGGCTTTTAAAATACCATTCTCTTCTGAAAGGAACCAAGGCTCTTTGGACAAATGATTCCAGGGCTGGATCAGGAAAGGTAGAAAGTAAGAAAGTGCTTAAATGGGAAAAAAAGAAAAGAAAAAAAAAAGATGGGGGTACGTCAAAAGGACACAGATGTAAGCTCGAAGGGGCTCTTACCAGCCAAATCTGGGATAATTTAAGCAACAAAACAAATAATGGTAGTCATGGATTACAACTGATTGGACAATACAGGAATCTGAGTCCACACGGATGTAAAAAACAAATGAATAGGGCGCCTGGGTGGCTCAGTTGGTTAAGCGACTGCCTTCGGCTCAGGTCATGATCCTGGAGTCCCGGGATCGAGTCCCGCGTCGGGCTCCCTGCTCGGGGGGGAGTCTGCTTCTCCCTCTGACCCTCTTCCCTCTCGTGCTCTCTATCTCTCATTCTCTCTCTCTCTCAAATAAATAAATAAAATATTTAAAAAAACAAAACAAATGAATACATAAATGAGGCTGAAGGAGCAGCTTTTCCACAGAATGCCGAGTCCTAAAAATGAGGAGGAACACCGGCTTCGTACAGGCCCCTCAGGGACTGTCAGAGCACTGGCTGCCAGGGCTGGGCGGGGGGGGGGGGGGGGGGCGGGGGCTAACAGAGGCCAGGGCCAGCAGATCAGGGTTTCACAAGTGACAGATGACTGCCGCAATCCAGAAGCACCTCCTCACAAAGCAGAATCACTTGCAAAGGCCTGAGAGGTGACTTCGTGGGGAGGTGTGGCCGACACCAACAGGATCAGAGTGAGTAGCCACCTGCTCCTGGTGTGGCCACCGGACGTGCGGGGCCAGGAAGAGCTCAGGGTGTCACTGGGCAGGCCTGCTGAGGACGCAGGTGCCTCAGTCTGGTCAGGAGGCGCCGTCACAGAGCTCCACGCTCAGGGTCAGCCAGTGGAATGTACCAGGGTGTGGACGACAAAGCAAGACTGGGGAGCAGTTCCAGATGAGGAATCAAAGAGCTGACAACTAAATGCAAAGTGTGCTCCTGAATGGAATCCTGGATCAGAGAGGGAGAAAGGATATTGCTGGGACAGCTGAACGGGGTCTGTGGATGGGGCAGCAGAGCACAGTGCTGACTTCCTAAACTGGGGGCCGAGCGCTCCTGTTTGCAGGAAGTCCACAGGGCCACGGGGCCATCTCTCTGCAGCCTGCTTCCCAAGGTTTCAGAGAGAAGAGCAGGGAGCGAGAAGGAAATGTGGGGAAGGGAGGAGGAAGGTGATGGGGCAAATGGAGGGAAAGGCTCACAGCCAAGGAGCCTGATGACGCAGGGAGCACAGGAACTCACAGTTTTTCCCGAGTTTGAAATCACTTAAAAAAGAAATTAAGGAAGAAATTTGTTTTTAAAAAGAGAGCGTTAGAGAAGAAACGGAACGAGGTAATGAAAACCATACCAGCCAACTACGCTGGAGGCACAGGGATGTGTCCCGACCTCCTGTCCCGATGGCCTCCTCGCACGAGGCGCCACTCGGGTACACACAAGCGGACCTGCCACAGGGGCCTGCCCGCGAGCTGGGAAGGTGCAGCACCGGTGTGCGGCCAGAGACCACCGGAGAGCCGGGGGACGTTCGAGGAGGGCGGGCAGATGGGGCTGCTCACCCAGATGTGCTGGAGGTCCTTGCTGTTGACGGGGTAGATGATGCAGTTGGTGCCAATGAGCTTGACGGCACAGTCGATGCTGACGTCTATCACAGTGCCACACTGACTGTCCTGGGGAGGAGAAGGCATCCAGGCCCGAGCAGGCGCACAGCACCAGCCGCCAGGGAGACCCAGCCCAGACAATCCCCAGGCCACCCCCGCACCAAGACTCACGGTGGATCGCATGTGCCGGACCACGTCCCGGGGCACCACGGAGCGGTCCTCTAGTTTCAGCTGAGAAAGAGAACACAGCGTGACACAATGGCCTCTGACGTCAAAATATAAGCCGCATTTTTCTCCCAACTTCTTACCCAAGTGGTATCATGCATAGAGCTGAACGCACAAACCCCAAGTGCGGCTTCGGCAAGCACCACACACGGCTCCGATCGCGCCCAGACTGAGAGGCAGAACTGCAGGCAGCACCCCACCCCCGAAGGCAAACACTGTGATGACTGGAGGTAACTGTGACCATATGGAGAAGGGGGGCTTAAATGGCAGATCGAAGAAGCCCTCAGTTAAATTAAGGGGTCAGTAGCCCCTCATACAGCGAAGCACTTTGCTAGGAGTGAAATCCCTTTTCTTTCTCCAAGTGCCGGCCCAGCCCCTGCTGCTGAGCACTGAGTAGAGGGCCGGAGGAGGAGCGTGACACGGGGCTGTGCAGGTCACCCCGAGGCCCGCTATCACCCGACGCGACCTTCTAATCTGGGCCACCCTTTCTGGCCAGCGGCAGCCTGCTCCTTATCTGCGGCGCTGCAGAGGACTGCGGGCGGGGGCGGACTCTCAGGATGGCCAGCTGTGGAGCCCAGCCAAACGCACGGCGAGCACCTGACCCATCCCTCCGCAAACACCCCGCAGCAGCGGCCTCCGAGGACAGCCGGGCCTCGGAGAGCTGTCCCCTCCCTCTGCCAGGCACCGGGGTCCCCTCCAACGGCCCAGGCGGAAGACGGTTCTCCACCAGGCCAGCGTGTCTTCCTTGCTGGCTCCGTAAACCGGGGGGCTGCTGCTCTGGAGTTCTCCATTGAGCCGTAGTACCGGGTGAGGCTCTGTGACTGCCCACCTCCTCTGGACGGGCACCCCCACCATTCCAAACCACAGGGATGCAAGAGCTGTTCTCTCAAACAAAAGCCAACCTAAGACTCCTCAAGATCACTGCCCCCACTCCAAAGCCTGGGCACCATGAAAAGAGAACGGAGACACTAAAAAGGAAGACGCTGGCTCAAGGTCCCTGAAATTGTGGCAGTGATGGCTAAGACAACCCTGCTATCAGGAGGCTATGACTTACAAAAAAACTAAAGGGGAGGGGCCCCTGGGGGGGGGCTCAGTCAAGAGCATGTGACTCTTGATCTTGGGTCCTGAGTTCAAGCCCCATGCTGGGTGCAGAGGTGACTTAAATAAATAAAACCTTAAAAAAAACCCAACAAGTAAAGGGGGAAGCAATGGGCTCCACCACTGACAAGCAACAGAAATTTTCCTACGTGGGAATATAAGCCCATGATCCAGACAAGAGTGAGCCCAGGTGTTAAACTCAGGGGTCCTTGAGCCAGACACTTAGACATGTCAGCTCCGAAACCTCAGGCAAATCGTCCCCGTCCACATGTACAAAATGCAGTGGAGCAGCCATCTTGCAGCAGGCGAGGGGATGAAGAAGGCAATGAAAGCCAAGATGATCCCAGGGCGCCTGGCGCACAGTGCTCAGCAAATGCCAGATGTGATCACTCCACCTGACTCCACTGTCCCCCAGGCCACAGGCTGGAGACCCTCTGAGTTCAGGCTATTCTTTGCTCTGCTCAAAGATCCCAGGAGTCTGGGAGGACCCACAGGGAGCTCTGCTAAGGGCCTGCTGGGATGAGGGTGGCACTTTTCTAACTCAAAGAACTTCCTATCCCATGACCCTCTGTGCCCAAAGCTCTGGTCTGGGACACGGTATTTTCAGTGCTGTCCCACCCTATCTCAAACCTCTGCCCCCATTTTAGACTTCAGAAAGCCACAACTGCAGGTCTTTCCAAGTTGCCATGGAAACCAAAGTTGCAGTGCCAGGAAATCCAATGGGAGAGGGACTGTGTTGTGCGGGGCAGGGGGGGATGCCATCCTTGGTGTGAGTTGAGATCTCAGGCACAGGCTGCCTCGCCTGCTCAGGGAGCCCTGAGAAAAGCCCCAAGTTGAGTCTACAGATCGTGTCCCCAGCCGGGGGTCTGTGTCGGTCCCTGACAGAGCTGCAGGGGAGTGGCACAGGTACAGATCCTGAATCGATGGCACACTGCCCAGACTCACAGCACCCTGGCCGTGGGACACTGCTCCTGAGTGTGCAGGGGAAACTGAGGCTCCCGCTGTGAGGCCGAAGCAGGAACAACACACTAGTGAAGGCTGGCGTCACCGGAAGGCCAGAAGCAGGGTAGCAGTTCAGTGTTCTCGGGAGAGGGGGTCTGGTTAGCAAACTCTGTCCTCTGGACCTGTGCCTGGCCTTTTGCCAGAGTCCACTCCACCATGAGGTTTGGTCTTCAGGCTCTTCTAACAACCTTCCATGACAAGGAGGGACATTTCTCCAAAGCCCTGACAATGCTGGGAACGGAGCAGAGTTAAGCAACAAGGAGAAGAAAGGGGTGTGCTGGCCACTCTTCTGACTATATTGCCCTCCCTTGCGAATTTCAGAAAATGAGAAGAGAGTGTCTGGAAGGGCTCTGAACAACGTGCAAGGCTCCCCCTTATCTTTCACCACTCTCCTTCCCAAGTCCCTATGTCCCACGCACACAGGGCACTACTTTCGTCCACACAAGCCAGTCCTCTGCCATCTGTGTGCCTCTCCACTGCACAGTTCCTTCCAAACAACCCCTCCCCTCTCCCCGTTCCCATCATGTGCTACCTGCCTCACGAAGGCTCCCCATATCCCCACTCTGGAGGGCACCGCTGTGCTCCTGGGGGCTCAGGAGCTCGGGAGCTCAGGCGTCCTCTGCCTACAGCAACTGGTGCTTATTACATGTCAAGCAGTTTTCTTGGCACTTCGTGTCTTTTAGCCATAGTGCTATGAAGTATACTATTACTGCCATCCCCATCTTACAGATAAGTGAACTGACATGGAGAGAAGACCAGAAACTTGTTCACGGTCACACAGCTCCACACAGGTGGACCTTGACTGGAACTCAGGCGGTCTGGCTCCAGAGGGCCATTCTCTTAACTATATAACGAGCTCATCCCTCCGCGGAGCTGCAGAGATAAGAGCGGAGTAAAACATATTCCTGGCGGGTCCACACGTTGTAAAAGACAGTGATTCTTAGGCATTCAACGCTCTCTATTCATTTCTGGGATGGAAGAGGTCAGGCACCCAGACAGCAGGGGCCGGAGGCCAGCACGAGGGGGCGCTGTGCCTGCTCTACGAAAACGCGGGATTCTGGAGCTCCCCTAGTCCCCTCACACAGCCATGTTTTTCTGTTAGGTGCACTCTGACTGCAGTTAAAAAACAAAACAAAACAGGGCGCCTGGGTGGCTCAGTTGGTTAAGCGACTGCCTTCGGCTCAGGTCATGATCCCGGCGTCCTGGGATCGAGTCCCACATCGGGCTCCCCCTTCTCTGTGGGGAGCCTGCTTCTCCCTCTGCCTCTGCCTGCCACTCCCCCTGCTTGTGCTCACTCTGTCTCTCTCTCTCTCTATGTCAAATAAATAAATAAAATCTTTTAAAACAAAACAAAACAAAACAGTTTCCAGAGTGGGATCTGAGGTAGGGGATGGGTAGATTTCAACTGTCATGACTGGCTCTAGAATGCGGTGGTGACTATCAACAATTCTTGAGGGACAGTGTGGCTGTCAGAGGATTATGAGCAGGAAAAAAGTTACCATACCAAAATGTTAACATGTCTCTCAGTGAGAAGGAACTATGGCTGGCTTTTAGAGGGGGCATGCGTTATTTCAGACAATTTTGGGACGTGACTGTGGGACCTCTTTTGTGGGGGCCCCTGCCTGCTCTGGAAACAAGCAGCCGACACCACCGCTGCCCTCCAGGGACAGGGATGCTGGCACTGCTCTGGAGGAGGTGACTCATCCGAACAACGATGACTGAGCACCTCCCACTGCCAGGCGCTGGGGACACAAGTGCCTGCTGCTCTCACAAAGCTTACATTCTAGCGCAGTGGAGGAGCTGCACATGCGCGCGCGCACACACGCACGTGTAAACGCGTGCGCAGGCACGCACACACATGGACGCGTGCACACACAAACACGCACGCGTGCAAACACGTGCGCGCACACACGCACAAACACGCATGCATGGATAAACATGCACGCGCAAACGCACACACACGCATGCACACATAAACGCACACGCACACACGCACACGCACAAACACGCATGCATGGATAAACGCGCACGCGCAAACGCACACACGCACAAACACGCGTGTGCGTCAGGTGGTGCTAAGTGCCATTCAGAAAAACTAGGCAGTTGCAAGGGCAGGGGTGAGAGACGGAATGGGAGGAAGTGAGTTATTTAAAACAGCTGCTCAGGAAAGGCCACTCCAAGGTGACATCTGACCAGAGATCTAAGTATAATATGGGAGTGAGCTTTCCAAGCAGAGAGAGGGCTGCCGTAAAGACCCGTGCGCCCCGTGTGTTCGAAGACCAGCAAGGAGAGCAGTAGATGAGGCTGGTTCACTTGGGCCTTAGAGAAAGAACGGCAGGAAGGACTTGAAGTTCCATCCTCGTGGACATGGAAGCCCCTGCAGGGCTCAGAGCAGAGAGCACGCATGACAGTAACCTTAAAAGGATCCTCTGGCTGCTGGGTGGAGAACCTGCTGTAAAGAGGGGTAGGGAGAAAAGGTGGCTTCATTCCTGGTCGGTGGCACCAGCACTGGGCTCCCAGTGTGAGGGGGGAAGCGGCAGGAAGTCCCCAACAAAAGGCAAGGAGGGGCTTAAAGGTGCCTAAGCCTTTGTGTCAAGGCCAGAATCCACACACCCGACCACTGTCATCTCCTGTCGGACTCCAGGGAAGGCCAAACAGAGGAGATGTGAGTGTTCTCCTTCAGTCCCACCGGAGGAAAACCGAGCTGGTCTTTCCTGGGAGTTAGTGATGTTCTCAATACCAGACCTTCAACTTACAATGGGAACAGCTTCAAACTCAAAAGGCTCAGCATCGTGCCAAGCACTCAGGAGGACTTCATAACGTCTCAGCTCACAAGGCCCAGCTGACGGCCAGCCCCACACTGTGCCCCTGGTAAGCAAATGGAAAACTGGGGACAGCCTACAGCG